CTCTCCTCCTGGTGGGCACACCCGCCCTTTGGCTAAAAAAAAAAAAAAAAAAAAAAGCTGGATCTCACATGGCTAACTGCAGTTCAAATCCTGACTCTAGCAACTTGAAAACCTCACTGGGAGTATGTGTACATGCATGCCTCTAATCCTGACAGGATGGTGAATGGATTCCAGTGTGAACACACTCCACTGGGCGTGCTTTCTTCCTCTCTTCTCTCTGGTGAACATATACGCCCTTTGATAACAAAAAAAGAAAACAAGATAATGTTAAAATTTGTGTTCTTATTTATGTGGAATTTTCCAAGATGCTTTATCAAAAAAAAAAAAAAAAAGAAAGAAAGAAAGAAAAGAAAAAGAAAAAAAAAGACACGTTGTGTATTATGAATTTTAGAGACTAGAATAAGAGACTAAGAGACTGAAGAGACACAACTAACAAACACATCTGAAAACAGCTAATTGTCACACAAATATATGGATTTTATTGACATGTAATATTTTCTTTCAGTAATAAATATAATCTTCATAAGTGTTAGCTTAGAGCTGGGAAGGCAGTGTGCCCTTGATGAGATCAGTCAGACTAGTGGCAGCATCTTCAGAATGGCGTTTAAGAGGAAACTTGTGTATTGGCCAACAACCTGACAGGTGTTACAATAGCACTCGTACTTTTCTCCAAACCACAAAAGTGGTTCATGACCCCGGTCAATATCACTCTAAATTCTCCTCACCCCAGTTTTGACAGGAATATATCACAAAAATAGCTAGTACCATAAAAAGTCAGTATTTCAAATATAAAAAAAAAATCTTTTATACAAATATAATTCATAATACAATCGTTCTTAAAATACAATATTGTTATATATGAGTTTGAAATATTATTAAAATAAATATTTCCTTGAGAAAATTTCATTTGCATCACAAAATTATAAAACCGAAGCATATGAAAGTAGTTCATGATCAGCTCTCCTTCAGGGTCTCTCCCCTTCTCTCTCCACTCAGTGTAGACAGTGTGAAGCACATATAACTAGCCTGGATTTATGCAGATGCTCAGGTTGTTGTGTGCATCTATCCGCAATGCCTGTGGCTTATTTGCCTACACGTTCTCTACCCAGAGCTCCTGTGGTAAGAAGGGTTTTTCTCTGCCAATTTGCATTAACACATTTTTCCGGCCATCCTTCAGTTCAGAAGTCTTATGAGCACATTGCTTTATGGAGGCTGAGAAAGGTATGTTAACTTTTGCATCAAGGGAGCGATTTTGTTCCCTATGTGAGACTGTAACAGACCTTTTCTCAAGGAACAGGGTGCATGCCGATCACATGAATTATTCAGATTTTTGGTAGAGCTGGATGATATTAACCCTGATTTCTACAATCT